ATAATGTCACCTAGTAACCTCACCAGCAGTGCGTTAGTTCTAATCCACGATAAGTGATGTCACTTAGTAACCTCACCAGCAGTGCGTTAGTTCTAATCCACGATATGTGATGTCACTTAGTAACCTCACCAGCAGTGCGTTAGTTCTAATACTTGATATGCGTTGTCACAGGTTACTCAAAGTAATTCTTTAGCATACTACTTATACATAATTTTAACACTTTATATTGATAGTACCTTTTTTATATTTTATTTTACCTTTTACGGATACAAAATTCAATATATTGGTATTATATACTTTTGCTGTTCTGAAGGTCAGTTTTTGTCAAATATGTCAGCACACGAAAAAAATCATTAATTGGTCATTGTTTACTATTAAAGTGAATTAAATTGTATTTAGTGAAACTGTATTAATATGAACGCTGAAATACAAACAAGAAGAACAGAAGAAAGTTACTAATTAATAATAAGTAATAGTATTCAAACTGACTATAAATATTTAACAAAAACAATGTGACAGGAGAAAACAATTTCGTAAATGTTATCTTAATTATACCAAGAACTGTGAAAAACCAAGCCACATTTGTTGTAACTCAGTTATAGGTCATATAATATCAGCAATTTAGAACTGGTCGATTATTGGAATTTGCTAATCGATTATTCTCACGAGATAAAAAGAAAAAACTTATGATAATATTACAAATCGGGTTTCGATAACGAGAGTGGTCAAAGTACGGACTGACCATTGTGTAACATTGAGCTCTTAACAACAAACATAATGGTAACATCTCAATAACTTGGATAGTAATAAATGGAAACCCTAATTTTGATTGATGGATTATTTTACGTAACACTAACCGATGCTCTTAGGTAATCGTGTTAATCGATCAGCTTTTAACACAGATCCCTCCCTCAACCAGAGGCGCCTCAGTGAGAGGGTTTGTTTGTTTTTGAATTTCGCGCAAAGCTACACGAGGGCTATCTGCGCTAGCCGTCCCTAATTTTGCAGTGTAAGACTAGACGGAAGGCAGCTAGTCATCACCACCCACTGCCAACTCTTGGGCTACTCTTTTACCAACGAATAGTGGGATTGAACGTCACGTTATAACCTCCCCACGGCTGAAAGGGCGAGCATGTTTGGTGGGACGGGGATTCGAACTCGCGACCCACAGATTGCGAGTCGAGTGCCCTAACCACCTGGCCATGCCGGTGAGAGGGATCAGTTGTAAAAAATCGGGATTGATCCGATTTTGATGAAAAAAATGAACAGGATGTAGAATACGACGAGCATTCCTAGTTTACAAACCGGACAAACCAGTGGCACAGCGGTATGTCTGCGGACTTACAACGGTAGAAACCGGGTTTCGATACCCGTGGTGGGCAGAGTACAGATAACACATTGTGTAGCTTTGTGCTTAATTCCAAATAAACAAACAAAAATTGAGCGAGTTATGATTGGCCACATCATCGGCAGAAACCCTATAGTTAATTATAGCATTTCTGGTTGCGTAAATGAGCCTTCTTCTTCTTCTTCGCAGTTCGTTAGATCTGTTTTTCAGAACAGAGCACCAGATTGCTCCAAGTCTCGCTGACCGTGACTGAAACTTTGCTACTCGTCGACTTGTCATCATCGAACACCACTATTCCTTCGATCACCTGCATGTGTGCAAGGTTCTCGATGTTCAACTTGCAACGGATGCGATCACGATGGGTATTCTGAAAACCCTCTCAAGCTCAAAGAAGCTTTGGCAACACTCTAAAAAATAGGTTTGGTGTTGACAAGGGCAATAGCGATTGTAATAGTAGCCTTCCGCCAGATCAGAAGATCAAGAAGAAGGTCTCCAACCTCAAATAGATAATGAAGAAACGTCGCATAATTTGATTTGACAATAAATAAAAAGATATAATCAATTTGTATGTCTGACTGTTTCTATTTGGGTAGTGTGGCCACTCTGAAATGATGCGTCTTATTGACTGCTCATAACACCAGACTGAAATGCGTTACCATAAAATGGATTGTATATATATATACAGCAGATTCCGGACTTTCCAATGGTGTATGCAATATCTCCAATAAACAATTAACGGAATTTCTTGTTCCTTGCCCTGCCATCGATAAACACTGCTTTGTCAAGGAAGAGATCCTCTGGTTTGGTTTGGTAGTTTTTAAGCGCAATGCTACACAATGAGCTATCTGTATTGAAACCTGATTTTCAGCATGCAAACCTACAAAACTAACCAGTGAGCAACTGGAGGGAGGAGCGAGATCCTGTGGTAATTCAGCATGTGGATTACGGATTATTATACATACTATGACATCATACTTCTTAAAAGTATGATGTCATAGTTACGTTTCAAAATTCGTCTTGCATCACATTTCGCTCAGATTATATTGCAGCTATTAACAGAGTAAAATCACGACCCTAATAAAATAAGAAACGTACGTCAATTATTGCTTGTTGGTAACAATTTTTAGGTTTAAGACGATTTTTTTTTCACTTCTACGCATAAATAATTCACCTTTGGGATATCTGACTATATTTACATCTCACAGATAATTAAAAAAAATACCGGATTTTTTATTCATTAATTCTGAAAGAGGTCACTTAGTCTTTTTTATAAATAAATAACTACTTTTTTTTAGCTAACAGTGTTAAAATTAAATTACTTTAGTATAAAGAAAATGTTTACCTGGCTCTCCACTAACATTGCCATATCCATGAACATGTCATGAAGTTCTTTGATACTTTTTTCCAATTTTATAATGTCCGCATGCCTGGCCTCGATGTCCTCTAGCGTCTGTTTTGCTTTCTGCGTTTCAATCACTATCTGAATATTCAATATTCTGAATACAAGAATATTTAAAAACAAAACACAAACCTAATGCTGTAATTTTTATATTAATTAAAATATAATGAAAATTTAACCTTCGTTTAAGTGAAAGCCAAGAAAGAATAAAAGTTACGTTTTAAAGGATAAAAAAATTGCATTTAACAAAAATACTTAAAAAAGGCAATATTAATACTAAAGACTACCCATAAATAATTAACGGAATTTAGTCTAGCCAGAATAACTAATTGAATTTAGTCAAATTAGACAAATTAACTGATGTTTAGTCATACCAGAATAGCTATTTGAATTTAGCCATACCAGAAAAGCTAATTGAATTTAGTCTAGCCAGAATAGCTAATTGAATTTAGTCTAGCCAGAATAACTAATTGAATTTAGTCAAATTAGACAAATTAACTGATGTTTAGTCATACCAGAATAGCTATTTGAATTTAGTCTAGCCAGAATAGCTAATTGAATTTAGCTAGCCAGAATAGCTAATTGAATTTAGTCTAGCCAGAATAGCTAATTGAATTTAGCCTAGCCAGAATAGCTAATTGAATTTAGCCTAGCCAGAATAGCTAATTGAATTTAGCCATACCAGAATAGCTAATTGAATTTAGCCATACCAGAATAGCTAATTGAATTTAGCCATACCAGAATAGCTAATTGAATTTAGCCATACCAGAATAGCTAATTGAATTTAGCCATACCAGAAAAGCTAATTGAATTTAGTCCTAGTCC